AGTGCAGTTGTACAACAGTTATTTGCAAAGAAAAGTTTGTGTTGTTGTTGATACGGTTTTCTCAATTTCTTTAGATCAGCTGAGAGCGCAGACGAACCGACGAGTTCACGGGCGGCCAAACAGCTTTGATTTTGCAGAAATTGATTAATTATAATGTTAACTGCTCATGCTGTGAGTTTTCAACAGCGGAGGACATTGCGAGACAGTTGTAAGGGAAACGCGCCGTAAGAAGAACAATTAATAAATATTTTATTTAATGAAAAACGTTTGAATTTTTTGAGCTCCAAAAAACACGTCTGCATGGCAGAGTTTCTGAGTTTCTAATTGGGGAATTTCTAATTGTGGGGGTCCGTCGAGGAAAATTTTAGTAGAGTATTACCACATTATTAAATAAAAATTGCATTAATAAAGAAATTTCTATAGTTGGAAGTAAGCATGTTAAAATCCTTAAATGTTCAGTACAATAAGGTGAACTCACTCACGCCGCGACTAGCTCAGAGATATTGTGCGTTCGTCCCACCAAATTTGTATTGCGTAACTGCCCGTGACCCAAGAAAATGCAGAGATATCCGATTGGGACAAATCGGAAAACTTTATTAAGTTTTTCTTTTCGCTGGAATTCTTCGTCAGCTGGCTGCTGCGGCTCGCCTGGTCGGCGACGTGCCTCCCTCGGCTCAAGATTCACTTCGTGCGTTTCTCTGCGGCGCTCCTCGACGGCGTCGCTGCTCTCTCCCTTCGTAGTGCGTGTGGACTCCTGCGGCGTCGTTCTCCAACGGCGTCTCTCCAGTTCCACCCGGCTTTTAGGACTCAAAAGTCTGTACAACCTTCCTTTCGGGTCCGACCAGAATGATCCTGGGATCACCTGTTCCGTCGTGTTCCCTGGGGTCGGTCTGGCTGTAGCCTGAGAAACAAATGTACCGACAGGTCAAATCCGAGGATTCAGCTCCGGCTGCCAGCGTCGCGTCTTCCGACCGACACGTCCCGTGCCTCCTGGCTGCATGAACTGCGGCGCTTTCTGCACTGACTGTCGCGCGAACTCCAACTGACTGCCTTGAGCTGCGCCTGCACCGTCCTTTTATTGGCTGCCGCGGGGTCCCGTTATTTCCTTTTCTGCACACGGCTCGCTAGGGTCCAATGTCCAGGTGTCTCCCGTTAGTTCCCTTTGCACACGGCACGCATCGGGTCCAAGGTCCAAGATGTCCCGTTAGTTCACGGTGCATCCCCTTTGTGCTGGTCCGAAGTCCATGGATTCACCGTTCGACCTCATTGCCCTCTGGCGGCGTGGGGCCAAGATCCAGCGCGGTACCGTTATTCCGCGGTCTATCCGCTTTGGCTGGGTACAAGGTCCAGTATTTACCGGTGGACCTGAATGCCCTCGGATTCTGCCGCATTCTCGCTGCCTTCGCTGTTGCTGTGGTTGATTCCTGGACGGCGGCGTGTATCGCCTCCATCCTTGCCGGCGGCGTGTAAAAAATTTACTCGTTCGGCCCGCTTTAGCAAATATTTAATATCTACACGAAAGTTTTCTGTTGTAGCGTGACGAGTGAATAAATTTTCGGTAGCGTACTTATTTAGTCGCATCTAATATGATTTTTCGTCACAAAAGTTGATATCAGAACTTTTGTACGTTGAAGGTGCGATCGTCACTAGTTTTTTACCTCGTTAAGAGGTGTTTTTATTTGATATCAGAAGTTTTTGTTTGTTTACTTTTGCTCTCATAGGTGCTAATATAAACATTTAAATTTAAATTGGTCAATCATAATTTTTAAACTATTGTATTTTAACGAATTAAGTTAAAAAGGCGTTGAAGTATTTCAAAATACCTTTTAAACAAGGTATAGCACATGTTTGTAGTAAGTAGTGTAGAACTTACAAACTAACGAAATGTAGCTCTTAAGTGCAAATTTACTGATTCCATGACCCTAAAATACAGTTCGGATACCCTCACACAAAATTCAATACTCAGGGAGCGTTAGTTGTTCGAGCTGGCAAAAGTGGCTATTTTCGTATAAAAATAACATTTAAAGGTGACTTTTTACAGTAATGTGTTATATACCAAAATTTAAGGAATCTCAAGGGCTATACAGTTTAAAGTTTTAAAGAAAATCGTTAGAGCCGTTTTTTAAAAAATAAAAAGAAGGTAAAAAAAGTATTAAAAATTGTCTTTTAATAATATTTTTTTAACTATTACATTTACACAAACTGCAAAAAGAAGGCGTTGATACCATTTAAAAATACCTTTCAAACGAGATGCAGCGCAAGTCTGTAGCCTTAGTAGTATAGAAGTTACGGCTTTCCGAATTTTAGCTATTTATAGCTTTTTTCCCGCTAAACAGACTGACAAACAGAATTAAATTTTCATTTTGTGAAGACGAAGAAAATCTTATTTTGGCAATAACTTTTGAACGGAGCGTCAGATTTAATCATATGACCCCTCATTCGACGGGTATTTTTAATAGGAACACAACTAAAACATTGCAAGGGGGCATTTATCCCCACCGGCCTCAACAGCTCCAAATTTCGAAGTTTGCACTTTTTACTTTCACCGATCTCTCTCCCAAGCCAATTGATTTTCTTAAAGATTTGGTATGCAATCCTTTAAGTTTTTGCAATACCTTTCAATTGGTGTATTACACATTAGGATCGGACTATCACAGCAGATTTTCAATTTTGCGGCTATATAAAAGTAGTCGCCTTCGCACACTCTCCTGGTGCGCTTCGTCACTACATGGACTGCCGTCCATAGTGATAACACTATGCAGCATCAAAAATTTACCACGATGGATGCTATATTTTTGGATTCGTTGTTAATTCCCAAGTTAAACTGCGTTTTCCAAAAAGTTCCCCGACGCAAGGATTCTTTTGGAAAACGCAGTTTAACTTCGGAATTCATAACGAATCCAAAAATATAGAATCCATCGAGATAAATTTAAAAAGCATTAAAAATGCTGCACAGTGTAGTTATAATTATTATATAATTATCAACATTTTGTATACCCTTGCAGAGGGTATTATGATTTTAGTCAGAAGTTTGCAACGCAGTGAAGGAGAAGTTTCCGAGCCCATAAAGTATATATATTCTTCATCAGCATCACTAGACGAGTCGATCTACCTATGTCCGACCGGATCGGATAACTATATCTTATAGCTCCCATAGGAAGAATCGGAAAACAAGAAAGGAAGCTAGCTTCGGCCAGCCGAAGCTTATATACCCTTGCAGATCATTCCTATTAATTAACAAATCGCAAAAATGTTCAATTTTCTAAAATTTCTCATTAATTTTCCGATTGTTCCTATGGCAGCTATATGATATAGTCGTCCGATTTTGATCAAATTAAAATTGAAATTCGGAAATATTTAAAAAGAGTTATATCCTAGAGTAGAAGATAATGCAATAAAAACCAAAGAAGCTAGAATTTATTTCCTATTACTTTTCCATTAATTTTCCGATCGTTCCTATGGCAGCTATATGATATAGTAGTCCGATTTTTTAAATAATTAATTCGAAATTCAGAAATATTTAAAAAATAATATCCCCAAAAGTAGAAGGTAATATTTCAAAAAACACCGAAGCTAGAATTTTTTAAAGTTTTTTTTCTTTCGATCCTTCCTATAAGAGCTATAATATAGGTATAGTTGTCCGATCCGGTCGGCTCCGACATATATACTACCTGCAATAGAAAGAAGACTTTTGCGAAAGTTTCGTCCCGATAGCTCAAAAACTGATAGACTAGACTGAGAGACGGACAGACGGACATGGCTAGATCGACTCGTCTTGTGATGCTGATCAAGAATATATATACTTTATGGGGTTGGAAACGTCTCCTTCACTGCGTTGCAAACTTCTGACTGAAATCATAATACCCTCTGCAAGGGTATAAAAAAAGTTAAAAAAAATTCTAGCTTTTTTAAATATTACCATTTACTCTTGGGAATATTATTTTTTATATATTTCTGAATTTCGAATTAAATATTTAATAAACCGGATCACTTTATCATATAGCTGCCATAGGAACGGTCGAAAAATTAAATTTAAATAAATAGGAAAACAAATTATATCTTAACATTCTCTTCTACTCTGGGATATGACTATTTTTAAATATTTCCGAATTTCGATTTTAATTTTAAAAAGATCGAACTACTATATCATATAGCTGCCATAGAAACGATCGAAAAATTAATGTGAAATAATAGGAAATGTAACATTTTTGCGATTTGTAAATTAATAGGAAATTAAGGGTATATAAGCTTTGGCTTGCCGAAGCTAGCTTCCTTTCTTGTTTTAATATGGTTTGCCGCAATTTTGGCAAGTGTCTTATGACCTTATTTTGTCTAATTAAAAACAAACCTATGTATATAAATACATACAAAATATAAAACACTAAGAAATTTGCTTACGAGCATCCTTACTTGGGTAAAATGTGTTGTAAATATTGGTCGACATTATTATTCCGTTGACGCGATATAACTTCAAAAAAGTTATTTAAAGAATGGAGAATTTTCTTATAGGTATAGGAGTTACAGCTTGAAAGGAGCTTTGAAATTGATTTTTTCGAAATGGGACTCTTTTTGTTTATATTTAACAACACCTCAAATCTCGAGTAAGTTTGACCATATTTTTATACAAGTGCACATGTGCTATAAAGCGTACGTATTTAGAAAAATCTTTCTGGTTCTTAAACGGGTCAGGAACAAAGATGTAATTTAAGTTGTACTCATAACACTATTATCTACCGATGTGTATTTAAATTATTTACTTCCTATAAAGGAAACAAATTTGTCAACAGCTCAACAAAAACCATGTTTAATGTCATATAGTTGTGAGACAGCCCCTACGTATTTTTAAATTGGTTTAACAAATACTTCATGAAAACGAAAAAATACATAAACCAATTATTAATTCATTAATAAAACATAAAAATTTTATGAAAAATATGTATGATTATCATTTTTAGTATATTATTCGTAAATAAACAATATAACATTTTCCATTGTAGTACCTGTCTTCTTAAAGTTTTCAGAGTTTTATGTATAAATAGAAGTAAGTAATACTTTCGTAAAATTCTCAGAAGAAATTCACAGAGCTGTACAAATACCAAAAGGCAAATTGAAACTAAGTAATATATTTTGGTAATGGCTCTCAAAGCATTTGCGCGCGCAGGGCTTATACGAATATATTGGTGTATGCTTATGGAGGTTTAGTGGGGGGTGCTAGTTCGGGGAATTACAGTTTCAAATATTCAGTTCCGCTAAGCTCTAAAATAAAGATTTTTTTCAGAGTAATATATAGCTCACAAAATTAAGATTTAAAACAAGAACGCTTTCTATTTTTTATTGATTTGTATATACATTTCGGACGGCCTAATTTAACTTCCTTTATTTTGTTTTATTTGATTCAATTTACTTAATTAACCATCGATGAAAATCATATATTATAGATAAACCATCTTAAAATAAGTTTCCATCATAATTATTTAAATTGTTTGAAAAGGTATAGAGAAATAATAATAAAAATCATAAATCAATAAAAAAATTGATGAAATATACCATGAAGGAAATCTTTGTTTTCCGATGAGGTACATATTTCTGATTTAAAAAAGGGCGCTTTATGAATCCAATTTTTTTAAATGTAAAATACGTTTTAGACATTTTTTTAATTTCTAACTCGAGTTGTGTTAAACCAATTTCGGCCATAAAAGATTCATTTTCTAGGTCATTAAATGCCCTCTAACTTTCTTATACACAGCATAGGGTTCCGTTCCATGATTTCGTCAACTTTAACTTCGTCAAAGTTAAAAAACCGAATTTTTTTTAACTTATACTTAAAGATACATCTTTAAGTCAACTAACAAGACCATCAACTAAAAAATCAATAAAAGGTTTGATTTTATATTTTATGATTTTATGATTTAACAGGACAGCCCTGTTGTGTCAATCAACAGCTGTAAACGGCCGAAAAATAACCGTTGTCGCAAGCTTTAAAAATGCATATCAAATTAATTTGCTGGTGTATTGTAATGATCAGGGAACGAAAATAACTGTTATTTTTGTTTTTTCAAATAAAAAAATCAGCGACTAGGAAGACTCGTAGAAAAAAACCAACTACACCGCTGGCATTATTAGGCACTCTTTTTTACATATTTTCCGCTTGAAAAATAACAGTTATTCCTTAAGTTTTAATATTTTGATCTAAAATAAAACTCAAAGTCGTTTAGTGGCGGCTGTGTAAGTGATAAAAATGTTATTAAAAATTTGGCTAAGTTTTTTAAGATTTTTTTTAAGTATGATCGACCACTGTAAATATGATTAATTTATTAATTTACGTCGCAGAAAGAAAAAACACTTAATTTAATAGTAATCTACACAATATACATTTCCGGCCAACAGTATATAAGATAAAGTAGTCAATATGCCTATACTGGCCTAGTGGATAAGTATCAGCTTCACAAAACGTGGGATACCAACAAGGGTTCAAATCCAGTTTAGGGTGAACATTTTAATTTTTTTGTAATGTTTATGTTTAATATTTTAAAACTTTGTAGATATGTTGTGATAGTTGTCAAAACAAATTTTAACAAAATACTGCAAAAATGAAATAAGCTGATATTAACATATAATATTTAATTTTGACTTTATTTAAATTCGTTGTTGAGCCTTACAAATACGAGTATAAGGTCGTTAGAATTACCTTCAGAGCATAAAAGGATCTGCCTAGGATTGCAAAAACGGTGTGAATCACTTTTGCCTTTTCGTACAGGTATGAGTATAAGAATTGGTTCTTCTCAAAATAATTCATAATATTTGTAACGGGTGTTTTTTTTAGAGGTATAGAACTTTAAGTTGCAATAAAACAACGATGGATTATTCGATTGACGTGCATTTTTTTTATTCGAAAGATAATCTTGTGGAATTACATTTTATATATGATTTCTGGCATATGACCGCCACGGCTGGCTCGGATATAGTCCAATCTGGACGTCCAATTTTCGATGACTTTTCCCAACATTTGCGGCCGTATATCGGCAATAACATGGTGAATGCTGTCTTCCAAATGGTCAAGCGTTTGTGGCTTATCCGCATAGACCAATGACTTTACATAGCCCCACAGAAAGTAATCCAGCGGTGTTAAATCACAAGATCTTGGAGGCCAATTTACAGGTCCAAAACGTGAAATTAGGCGGTCACCAAACGTGTATTTCAATAAATCGAAATAAAATTGCACTATTTGCGAGCGTTGTTCAGGCGTGAGTCTATTCATGATGAATTGCAAAACCAAACTGAGAATAAATCACTTGATAGCTGTTAAATTGGTCGCCATCTTGAACAGTGATGCCAACTTAAAGTTCTATACCTCTAAAATAAACACCCTTTATTTTAAACCACCTGCTTGGGAGAAAAATTTTCGATTTCGCTTTAAGATTTTTTAATGTCTTTAATATAAGCGTCTTAACGCTAAATGAATAAATGTGTAGACCGCCTTTTATAAAAATATGGATTTTTCTATGTCAGTCGTAAATTAATAAATTAATCATACACACGAAAAAAAAACTTGGTGAAATCAACTGTAATAATTGTCAAACAGGCCCCAACCAGCAAAATTGTCAATTCTACTAAGTAAATAGTCATTCCACAACAACAAAATACTCACAATTAGCAAAGACACAAACCCAAAGCAAAAACAAAGTACACGTAACTATTTTAATAGTTTCGTTACTATCTTTGTTGGTCAATTTTACAAAAAAAATTTTTTGTGTGTACTTTTGCATGGCAAAGTGTTGCAAAAAGTTGTAAACGGGAATCTATTAACAAAAGTGTGCAGATTAATGAAAACCTAAACCTTTATATATGATGGACGTTGATGCACTACGAGAAGTACAAACAAGTGGCCCAACGACACCAAGCACGTGCTTGTTACGCGCGGGGCCCTTTTGTAAATTTGGGCAAAAATGGGAGTTCGCGAGGAAGAATACATAAAACCAATAAAGACGGGACAAATAATGAAAAAAACATGCAGTTAGGAGTGAAGCAAATGAGTTAAAATGTTAGTTTTTAATACCGGGATAGAAGTTGATGTGCAAATTAAATGATAAAGAACGTTATAGTTATTACATACACACAAAAAAATTTGCTTGATAAAATTGACCAACAAAGATAGTTACGTAACTATTAAAATAGTTACGTAAACCCAAGAACACTCATAGTTTTCATAGTTCGAAATGTGACAGACAGACAGGCAGACAGACAGACAGACAGACAGACAGACAGACAGACAGACAGACAGACAGACAGACAGACAGACAGACAGACAGACAGACAGACAGACAGACAGACAGACAGACAGACAGACAGACAGACAGACAGACAGACAGACAGACAGACAGACAGACAGACAGACAGACAGACAGACAGACAGACAGACAGACAGACAGACAGACAGACAGACGGACAGACAGACAGACAGACAGACAGACGGACAGACAGACGGACAGACAGACAGACAGACAGACAGACAGACAGACAGACAGACAGACGGACAGACAGACGGACGGACAGACAGACGGACAGACAGACAGACAGACAGACAGACAGACAGACAGACAGACGAGACAGACAGACAGACAGACAGACAGACAGACAGACAGACAGACAGACAGACAGACAGACAGACAGACAGACAGACAGACAGACAGACAGACAGACAGACAGACAGACAGACAGACAGACAGACAGACAGACAGACAGACAGACAGACAGACAGACAGACAGACAGACAGACAGACAGACAGACAGACAGACAGACAGACAGACAGACAGACAGACAGACAGACAGACAGACAGACAGACAGACAGACAGACAGACAGACAGACAGACAGACAGACAGACAGACAGACAGACAGACAGACAGACAGACAGACAGACAGACAGACAGACAGACAGACAGACAGACAGACAGACAGACAGACAGACAGACAGACAGACAGACAGACAGACAGACAGACAGACAGACAGACAGACAGACAGACAGACAGACAGACAGACAGACAGACAGACAGACAGACAGACAGACAGACAGACAGACAGACAGACAGACAGACAGACAGACAGACAGACAGACAGACAGACAGACAGACAGACAGACAGACAGACAGACAGACAGACAGACAGACAGACAGACAGACAGACAGACAGACAGACAGACAGACAGACAGACAGACAGACAGACAGACAGACAGACAGACAGACAGACAGACAGACAGACAGACAGACAGACAGACAGACAGACAGACAGACAGACAGACAGACAGACAGACAGACAGACAGACAGACAGACAGACAGACAGACAGACAGACAGACAGACAGACAGACAGACAGACAGACAGACAGACAGACAGACAGACAGACAGACAGACAGACAGACAGACAGACAGACAGACAGACAGACAGACAGACAGACAGACAGACAGACAGACAGACAGACAGACAGACAGACAGACAGACAGACAGACAGACAGACAGACAGACAGACAGACAGACAGACAGACAGACAGACAGACAGACAGACAGACAGACAGACAGACAGACAGACAGACAGACAGACAGACAGACAGACAGACAGACAGACAGACAGACAGACAGACAGACAGACAGACAGACAGACAGACAGACAGACAGACAGACAGACAGACAGACAGACAGACAGACAGACAGACAGACAGACAGACAGACAGACAGACAGACAGACAGACAGACAGACAGACAGACAGACAGACAGACAGACAGACAGACAGACAGACAGACAGACAGACAGACAGACAGACAGACAGACAGACAGACAGACAGACAGACAGACAGACAGACAGACAGACAGGCAGGCAGACAGATAAATGTAAATGGCCCAATGGCCTGTGATGAGTGCCGTGATCCTTCTAATATCCCTTTTGCTTTTGGTTATTACCTCTCGAGTTCTATTGCTATTGATTGTTGGCCAGCAGAACTATGATCTCCTGAGACCCTGCTTTTCTGACCAACTTTTACTAGTTTGTGTTTTGTAGTGTTCGTGAATCCTTGCTTGGACTGTATTAAGGGACTCAGGTAGACTAGTTGTATAGG